GTTTTAGGACAGATTTAACTAATCGTTTCTAGAATATCGGGTTGCCCTAAACTCTGCTATGATAGTGGTAGATGACACAATGTAATGTAAATTGTTATTAATTTTGTTTTCTGACAAACGTATGACTGTGTTCCACTGCGGCTCAATTTAACTTATAAAAAGACTTTTTCTGACTGACTGACTAACTAATCTATCAACGTACAGCCTAAACCGCCGAAGTTAGAAACTTGAAATTTTGACAGTAGGTTTCTTTTATGACGTAAGCGAGCACGAAAGTTTTTTTGAATGCCACATATTATCATACCAATTATTGGTGAAGGAGCTTGCTAATTCTGAGTCATAGCATACATATTGTTACGAGCTTAGGGTTCGTGACAATAAAAAACTGCCGATAGAATTACCAAAATTGATACTTTATTTTCCGAACACCAATTAAAACTAATACACACTAATTATTAATCACACTTAATACTTTATTTCACTTTATTTCGCTTCGAAGTCTTCACTTGTATCGCCAATTCAATACTGCTCCGATCGCGGCCTTCAACGGCTTTAAATAAGGCTCTTACACCGAAACATCCAGAATATTCCAGTAAATACGGGCCTCGACCGACCAGGCGTAGAAAGTTCGAGTGCGGGGCTTTCTAGAAAGCTTAATTCTTCTATACGTTACTAGATGGCGCTGTTGGTTGAAAGTTTAATCATGGAATTTTCTGGAGAGCTCTCCTCACTCTGTTACTCGACACTAGATGGCGCTACTGACAGGTACCAGACATCAACTTTTGAAGCGACAGTAGCCTAACGGCAGGGTGCGGACCGCGAACTCAAAAAGGTCGTGGGTTCGAATCCGCAATTTGACTACTGGCGTGAATCTCTCGTAACACAAGCAGTTTAAACTTACCACGAGTGGTTAAAGGGAATATTAGTAATGTTTATAGGATTGTTAATATTCTTTAAAAAAAAACTTAGGCGGGCACAATATTATATGATAATGATTTCTTAAATTTACGCGAACACCACACATTGAATAAAACTAAATTTACGGATTTTATCGCGTTTATTTCACTACTTTTACTTATTTTTAATTCCCGACGTTTCGGGTGCTTTACAGCAACCATGGTCACGGGGGGGGACTGAGATGTGTGACGTCCCAATGTCATAGTTAGTCCGGCTACCTTCAGTTTTTGAATATTAATTTTTGGTCCGATTTACGCAAAACGAGCTTATAGTATCATGAAGTCTTGCAGTGGTATGCTTAGGTTTGGGTTTAATTTTGTTAATTATAGGATCCCAAGCAGGTGGCAGCACCCATCCATCTTCTCTATTGAAATTTGGATGTTTTTTTAATTTCAATAGCCTCGCGTATCATCCTTGGTAGGAATCGGTGTTCTTTTGCGAGAATTTGTGGTTTATCAAAACGAAAGTAATGGTGGGGACGATCTTGAACATGTTCGCAGACTGCAGACTTCCCGGAGCGTCGGTGCTTCACGTCAGATATATGTTCTTTCACGCGGGTTTTTATGGATCTTTTTGTTTGACCTATGTAAGAGAGACCACATTCACAATCTAACTTGTACACTCCTGCATCTTGTAGAGGGATATTACACTTGACGGATGGTAAAAATTGACTAATCTTCTTCGGCGGCTTGTAGTATGTTTTAATAGAAGCTCGCTTCAAGATGTAGCCAACCTTGTCTGTGACTCCTCTGACATATGGTAGTACAGCAGGTACACGCTCGACTGTGGCCGGCTTCACTCGGTCACTGTGACATAGGCGCGGGACCCGAAGCTTGTTGTCTTGCAATACTTGCTTGACGTGCTGAAGTTCGGCGGCCAGATGTTTTCTGTCACAGATCCCTCGTGCTCTCTGAAACAAAGATTTACCCACGGTAGCTAACTGTGAAGGATGATGGTGAGATTCACCATTTAAATATCGGTTGGTATGGGTCTTTTTTCTATACACTGTGTGACCAATTGTGTTATTAGGATTTCGAATGACTAAAACATCTAAGAAAGCGAAAGAATTATTTGCCTCTAACTCCATTGTGAATTGTATTTTAGAGTTTATAGAGTTAAGGTGGTTTAAAAATGCAGTTACTTTGTCAGATGGTAAAATTGTGAAAGTGTCGTCTACGTACCGCTTGTAGAATCTTGGATTTACAGGAGCAGTAAGAAGGACTTTCTCCTCGAAGTCCTCCATGAATATGTCAGCGACTATGGGAGATACAGGTGAGCCCATCGCCACACCATCTTCTTGCTTGTAGAACTCTTCCTTCCACAATAGATAGCCAGATGTGAGGCAGTGTTTGAGTAATACTGCATATTCAGCAGGCATGTTATTATATTCTAGCTTCCTAGTTACAATTGATATGCAGTCTTCAATAGGTAGGCATGTGAATAGTGACTGAACATCAAAACTGACCATATCTTGTCCGAATTAGGTCTTTTATCTCACTAACAAAATGGTATGATCCTTTGTGTGTCTCTATCCTCTCATACTTACACGTCTTGCAACCCATATGGGTTGTGTATCTTTGGTAACCCATATGGGTTTGTGTATCTTTGGTAACCCATATGGGTTACCAAAGATACACAAACCAAACGCACCACTACGTCCGATAGTGAGCCAAATCGATTCACCAACTTATAAGCTGGCACAACACTTGGCAAAAGTACTGTCACCACTGAGAGGACATACCAGAGCACACACAAAGGATTCATACCATTTTGTTAGTGAGATAAAAGACCTACATCTCGCTAACAATGAAACTATGGTCAGTTTTGATGTTCAGCCACTATTCACATGCCTACCTATTGAAGACTGCATATCAATTGTAACTAGGAAGCTAGAATATAATAACATGCCTGCTGAATATGCAGTATTACTCAAACACTGCCTCACATCTGGCTATCTATTGGGGAAGGAAGAGTTCTACAAGCAAGTAGATGGTGTGGCGATGGGCTCACCTGTATCTCCCATAGTCGCTGACATATTCATGGAGGACTTCGAGGAGAAAGCCCTTCTTACTGCTCCTGTAAATCCAAGATTCTACAAGCGGTACGTAGACGACACTTTCACAATTTTACCATCTGACAAAGTAACTGCATTTTTAAACCACCTTAACTCTATAAACTCTAAAATACAATTCACAATGGAGTTAGAGGCAAATAATTCTTTAGCTTTCTTAGATGTTTTAGTCATTCGAAATCCTAATAACACAATTGGTCACACAGTGTATAGAAAAAAGACCCATACCAACCGATATTTAAATGGTGAATCTCACCATCATCCTTCACAGTTAGGTACCGTGGGTAAATCTTTGTTTCAGAGAGCACGAGGGATCTGTGACAGAAAACATCTGGCCGCCGAACTTCAGCACGTCAAGCAAGTATTGCAAGACAACAAGCTTCGGGTCCCGCGCCTATGTCACAGTGACCGAGTAAAGCCGGCCACAGTCGAGCGTGTACCTGCTGTACTACCATATGTCAGAGGAGTCACAGACAAGGTTGGCTACATCTTGAAGCGAGCTTCTATTAAAACATACTACAAGCCGCCGAAGAAGATTAGTCAATTTTTACCATCCGTCAAGTGTAATATCCCTCTACAAGATGCAGGAGTGTACAAGTTAGATTGTGAATGTGGTCTCTCTTACATAGGTCAAACAAAAAGATCCATAAAAACCCGCGTGAAAGAACATATAGCTGACGTGAAGCACCGACGCTCCGGGAAGTCTGCAGTCTGCGAACATGTTCAAGATCGTCCCCACCATTACATTTCGTTTTGATAAACCACAAATTCTCGCAAAAGAACACCGATTCCTACCAAGGATGATACGCGAGGCTATTGAAATTAAAAAACATCCAAATTTCAATAGAGAAGATGGATGGGTGCTGTCACCTGCTTGGGATCCTATAATTAACAAAATTAAACCCAAACCTAAGCATACCACTGCAAGACTTCATGATACTATAAGCTCGTTTTGCGTAAATCGGACCAAAAATTAATATTCAAAAACTGAAGGTAGTCGGACTAACTATGACATTGGAACGTCACACATCTCAGTCCCCCCCGTGACCATGGTTGCTGTAAAGCACCCGAAACGTCGGGAATTAAAAATAAGTAAAAGTAGTGAAATAAATGCGATAAAATCCGTAAATTTAGTTTTATTCAAAATATTATATGATACTCAAGTTATGGCTCGGGAGATATGTGAGAAAATAGTAGACCACGTGATGGAGCATTGGAACGAGTCATGTTCCACGACAGAGATCGGAATAATTTTAACAGTTCTGCTGACTACCATCCCAAAATGTCTCAACTTTATACATATGGTGATTTATGCAAATTAACGGCTACTGAGCAGATTTTTCCATGTTATTTTATACGGGAAATTTAGAGGAGAAGAAAACCCTAGCTCTATCTATGCTTTAGTACTGCGCATGATCTCTCTAATAGACATTTTGACGCTTAACTTCCTGTAGATATGTCGAATCCAGTTTCTACTTTTCAGATTGAAAGTTCTTCTACAGTAGTTACCGTTAGTAAAAAGTAGCGTTACCGGGCAAGATATACTAATAAAACTAGAAAAAAAAAAGTTTGTCGACCAAATTGGCGATCTATTGAAAAGGGGCCAAATTAAGAGTACTCTTAACCGACGAGCATGTATGCGTATGTATATGGATGTGGAAAAGGCGAGAGAAGTGTGTCAGGATCGTGCCAAATGGAAGTCTGTAGTCTCTGCCTACCCCTCTGGGTGACAGGCGTGAGTGTTTATGTATGTATATATATGTGGAAAAAAAAACAGCTCAAAAATACCAGTATTAAGTACAAGAAATATAATCCGGGTGTGCATAGTAGCGCTGTCCACGCTAATCAACGCAAAAATCCAGAAATACATCGTGCTGCAGTCATGACTTATCAGCAAAACAATCCAGAGTCTCACCGTGCTGCAGTAATGACTTACTAGCAAGATAATCCAGAGTCTCACCGTGCTGCAGTCATGACTTTTCAGCAAAATAATCCAGAGTCTCACCGTGCTGCAGTCATGATTTACCAGCAAGATAATCGAGAGTCTCACCGAGATGCAGTCACGACTTATCAGCAAAACAATCCAGAGTCTCACCGTGCTGCAGTCATGATTTACCAGCAAGATAATCGAGAGTCTCACCGTGCTGCAGTCATGACTTATCAGCAAAACAATCCAGAGTCTCACCGTGCTGCAGTCATGACTTACCAGCAAGATAATCCAGAGTTTCACCGTGCTGCAGTCATGACTTACCAGCAAAATAATCCTGACTCACCGTTCTGCGGTGGCAAATTATAGACACAGTAATCCAGAAATTCATAGAGTAGCTGTTTCTAGGCATGATCCAGAAGGGCGATCAGAAAGACGATTACGTCCATGGAAAGTAAAAGCTTTATCTGGGTTGATATATGATCCTGAAGTAGCTTATGAAACTGATAAAACAGTTATTCATAGTGCTATGAATCAAAAATGTATACACTGTTCAGATTTCAGGTGGAAAGAGGAGGCCCGTGGCATGTGCTGCGCTGGTGGTAAAGTGAAGCTTCCTGCTTTTGAGCCCCTGACAGAACCTCTTTACGGCTTGGTTATGGATCTTCATCCAAAACATGCAAATTTTATGGATTGTTTGGAAGTATAATGGCTGCTTTCAAATGACAGCCTTTGGGGCTAAAAATAATAGAAGATAGTTATATGCCCTTTATTATGCCTTTTAAAGTGCAGGCGTGAGAGTTATTGCGCGTATACTTATTACCTTTAACCTGACATATGCGTAAGAAACCGAAACAAACAACCAGTCACGAGTTTGGGTGTTCGAAAATGAGTTAAAGCCAACAAAAATTGTTCGTTCACGGAATGTTGCAAAAAAACGGTGGCCACGTTTGTCTCCAAAACCGGCCATGTTACGACTATTCCTCTTGAGGGACTAAGAACGGTTAATACAGAATGGTATGCTAGCATTTGTTTGCCACAGATCGTTTCTGAACTCCGTAAAGAGAACTGCAACCGCCGCATCATCCTCCATCACGACAATGCGAGTTCTCACACCGCACACAGATCATAAGAGTTATTAGAGCAAGAAAAGATAGAATTATTAGACCATCCGCCGTACAGCCCGACCTAAGCCCTAATGATTTCTATACTTTCCCTAAAATAAAGAATAAATTGCGTGGACAGAGATTTTCATCACCTGAAGAAGCTGTAGATGCCTACAAAACGGCCATTTTGGAGACCCCAACTTCCGAATGGAATGGTTGCTTCAATGATTGGTTCCATCGTATGGAAAAATGTGTCAAATTTCACGGAAAATACTTCGAAAAGCAATAAATATATTTTTAAATATGAGACCTAAAAACAACTTTTCAAAGATTCTTGAAAGTTGTGATATGTTTGAAGTAGTTATTCATGCTGATAGAAAATCAGCTCATGCTCACATAAGAAGCTCTAATGCAACGGCAGCAAGAGAAGTTGCTCTGGTTATAGTTGGACAACAGTTCGAAAAGCGAGATATCGTATTACAAACTCACGATAACAAGTTACGTCGTATCAGTGAATTAAACCGCTCACACGATAGCTTGCAATACATACAGATTTTTTGCTATGGTGTGGATGGTTACTCCTTTGATATAATATATCAGTATGATCCTTAAACAAAAAATCTCTTTAGAAAACTGTGTGAGACAAATAGACGAAAATCGGTTGCTGACTAAAAAGAGTACGATAGTAATCTTACTCTTTTTAGTCAATATTTAGTTGATATGTACGCAAAAATTGAAACAGGAAGATAAAATTACATCAGAAACAAACAAGCACATCACAAAGCAGATAGATTTTTTTGAAAGATACAATAGGGAAGCAGGATACCAATATTGCTCAACTTGGTCAGATGGTAGTACTACCCTTGTCTTTTACTGAATCAATTCGATATATGATATATGTACGAAAAGTTTAAGGATGCAATGACTTACGTTTACGTACGGCTATTACGGTCGTCCTGATCTTTTTATTACACTAACATGTAATCCTCGATGGAAAGATATTGCAGATGCATTGCTACCTGGTCAAAAACCACAGGATTGACATGGCATTATAGCACGTGTAATTTATTTAAAAGTTAAAATCTTATTGGCACTACTAAAAAATGGAAATTTGTTTGGAAACGTTTGTTGCTATATGCAATCTGTCAAATGGCAGAAGCGAAGTCTACCTTATATCCATATTTTGCCGTGGCTAGAGTAGCGCATTTCTCCTGCCAATATAGACAATCTAATTTGTGCCGAAATACCGGATCCTGAAAAAGATCCGGTATTTCGGCACACCTACCTTTATGAAATTATTGGAGCCAATATGATCCATGGACCTTGTGGAAATTTGAACAACAAATCTCCATGTATGAAAGGTAGTATTTGTAGCAAAAAATACTCTCAAACTTTTCTGAAAGAAACTTGCACAGGCGAAGAGATCCCAAAGACGGTGGTTTCACGGTTGACATTAATGACGTAACCCTCGACAACCGATGGGTGGTACCTTATAGCCCAGTTTTATCACCGACTTTTTCTGTTCATATAAACATAGAATATTGTAGCTCTGTAAAATCAATTAAGTGTAGATGTAAATATGTGAATATAGGATCTGGCCAGGCATCATTCGTTCTTGTAAACTGTATTTGTACTTTATTTTTTATATTATGATTTGATATTTTCTTCTTCTCTGTCATTCCTTGAGTATTCTACTAGCAGACATGGTCTTCCATAATTCTTGTTTTTTTTCATAAGCACTTAAAATTTTTAAGGAGATTCCGTGTGGTGGCGTCGTACATTCCTCCACGTTGTCCCTCCCCCCCCCCCTTGACTTTCTAAAGAATTAATAATGAAACGAACCCGTAAAAGCAGATATCTCGTATAGTTGACACTACTCCTCATCATCGGTTACCGGTATCCATTAGAGCTCATGAGATATTTTTAACACTATTCAATTCAAGTCAGTCCAATATTGAGTTAACTCTTTAATAAATAGTTTTTTTAGAAATTACGCCAAGGACACACGGCATTAAATAATTAAATAATTTAAAACTCTGCAGCATTCTGATAGAATAACTATCAAGAAACCTAGAGCGGCTTGATCCAGCTAGGATCTTTTTACTGTAGAAGTTTTCAGCTAAGCCTTTGCATACGTTACTGCTACAAAGGGGAATATCAAAATTCAGTTATTTTATTAATATTTTTGCAAAATAAGAACACAGGTACTTTTTTTTTGGAATTCGAAGTGAAGAGACTCGATTTCTTTTAATAAATAGATAAAACGAAGGGTAAATAGCAACGAAAAAGAGAGTAAGATACATGATTTTTTTGGATTGTCAATAAATTTAATAAAATAAAGGTCTACAAATGGTAAAATTACAGGTCTATTTTTAATAAAAATATGAAATTTGAATATTTATTACTCTATAGACTTTTGTTTCGTTTGCAATTTGGTGGGCAAATTAGAGTATACACAAGCGAGCTAGCTAGCTAGCAAATAAGTTTTTTTATGTTTTTGAGTACATTTCACAAGGGTAACTTAAAATTCAAATAAATACCGACGAGAGAAACAATCGTCACCATTGCAATATTCGAGACTATTCATACCCGTGCTTACGGTTCGTACTCGCGAACGGGCGCTCGATAGCTTATACTCTAAAGTGAGCACACTTACACTAAATAATTTCTCCGTACAATATACCTAGATATTTAATACGGAGAAATTATTTAGTGTGTGTATGTCGTGAGTTCATATTAAATTAATAAGTGACTGGATGTGGAAACAGTATAGACTTGAATACCATTTGAATTTTATGTAACTGTTTATAACTCCACTTTTCTTAAAAGATAATATACTTTGGTTATACGTTTTACCCGCGACCCGCACAAGCTTCTTCTGGATGAAACTATTAATTTGATGTATTTCATTTTTAGGGTTCTGTACCCGAAAGGTATCCATCGGGATTTTATTACTAAGCCCCTGAACTAAGTTGATATACGTTTTAACAGCGGTAAAGCCACGCGGCAGCATTTGCTATTGCAAATATGGGCCGACTCGAACCGGTGTTGCAACATGACCTCACAGAAGGCCAACGTGAAGTAGAAGCTCTGCTTCTGCATTTCGTCTGGTGAGTGCAGGTGGTCTGAGGCTCATCCTCCCCCCCTCCCTTAACATGTTTAAATAGAACATTACTCCAGGAGGATACCAGCACCCCTGGTGATCTGGAGAATCTCATTGAGTATACACGTCCAAGCTACCCTACTCTTCCTGAGCGTGGTTGCGAAGGCTGCCCCACGTATTTTGGGGGGGGGGGGGCAATATTCGGCTCAAAACTAAACCTGCTCGGATCAAACGGAATACAAATAAGACAAATGTGCCCCCTGCCACGCTATTCGTGAATTTCTACAACGTCAGGAGTCATTCAAACCTTAACGCCATTCACTACCATCTGGAAATGACGAAGCCGGCCTTGCTCTTTGTGACCTAGACACAAGTGTCCTCTCCGGCTGATCATATCTTATCTGCCTGGTGTACAAATTAGTGTACTGTGTACTGTAACTGTAAGTGTACTCTTTGTGTGTGGGTTTGTTTCTCACCGGATAATCTCAGGGTTGTTGATAATTATGTCGCTGGTGTGGTGCTACAGGGAATATAACTATTAATTTCATCATCTGTGGTACCTATCGGAGGCAGAACCCAGCTATGGCTTAGATGTTCCTGTAGAATTGCATTACGCCATTAACAAGAGTGCTACTAGGCCTGAGCTGACAGATTGATGTATCGGGATGCAAATACCATCACTCTTAAAAACAAGTATAATTTCGCCTCCAGGTTCTTCAAAAATGTCACTACTAAGGCAAAGTCAGAGCACATCGGCAGAATTGACGAGAAACTACTTCGACTCGTTTCGGAAACACGTGGATCCTGGTCTCCCGCCAAAACTGTCCAAAGGAACTTCTGTGAACCATCTCTCCCATCTTTATACAGGGAAGTCAACTCACTATCCCATGACATATAAAGGCCGATCTGCTGGGCTCTGTCTTTGCGTTCAACTCGACTCTTGATGCGCAGTGTGAGTGCTTCATACAGTATGTGCTGTTTACCCAGCGCTTGGTGCGCAGAGCATTCCTCACCTTTGACCTCAACAAGTCGAGTGGGCTTTATGGTGTCCCTACTATTGTGGTGAAGACGTGTGCACTGGAGTTGGCACTGGTTTTAACGCGTCTTTGACGGTACTTCTACTTCCTAAGTGTAGTCCCGAAATCATGGAAGACAGCTTT